GTTTTTTCTAGGCTCCGATTGTCTTTCAGAAAAAAAGAACTGGGAGGGTGTAGTGGGAGAAAGTGTTGTGCCAGGACTGTCAAGATGGAAATGGGGTGCTGACCCAGCTGTCTTATAGGGGAAGGGGTACTGGTAGCTAATCATCTTGCTGCCTCTACCCTGTGGCACAGACTAATGATTTTTTACAGCCACACCAAAGGGTTGATACAAGAGCTTCAGAGGACCCTTGTCAACTTTTCTGGTCTGGACCAACATTGGATTAAAGCTTCAGCCCTGTACCTGCCACTGCACGAGGGTGGGCAAGGCCTGGTGGACATTTTCTTCAGGAATCATGGCTTTCCGGCTTCAAGCAGCCCAGAGACTGTTGTACAGTGACGGTTCTAGCTGGGTTTGACAAGCCTACGCATTGATGAGGAGAGCGGGCTGTTTGGGCTTAGACAAGCACCTTTCCCTCTTAAAGCTGGAGGGGGGTTTGGTGTGAGTTGAATGGCCCTTTGACTCCATTTTATGAGTCTGTTATGCAGGCTTGGAGAGTTATTGGTCACGTCCCGTAAGGCCTGCACGCCACCAGGGATGTGGCTTTTTGAAGAGCCCTCTTTTCCATAAACACTGCCATCCAAGTCCCGTGTTCTGGGTTCAGCTAGCCTACGTTCATGCCTGTAGGCGTGGGGTGTACTTAAGCTGGGTCATCTGATGTGGAACAGGAATAGGTCATTGGAGGAGCTGGGGACAAGAACGGGGGATCCGATCGTCTCGCCTACTGAGGAAGGTCGTCGCTGAGGTCTGTGATTCCTTGCCAGTACTTCATCTGCAGTATGTGACTGACAATTCCCACTTCTGATCGGGTGGAAGGAGGGTCTGGATTATGTGTTCCCTGCACTGATTGTTAGTGCTGCGGCGGGGGGCATTCGAGCGGAGGACGTGGGGATGCTGCTTTCCTTCGATACCCGGAGCTGGGGAGTTCAAGGGAGGTGGGAAAGAAGGCCATGTACAGCATATGTGTAAAGGTGTCCCATGCCTCTTCCCTGGAAGGGGTTTAAAATCGACGAGGTGGGCGGGTGTGCTGGTCCAGGTGCCTCCCCAAAAGGCTGTTGGCGAACATTATACAAACTGCCTATTGATACGAGGACAGCTGACCTCCAATGGAGGATAATACATGGAGCCATAGCCACCAACATGTATCTGGTACACCTGGATCCTATGTTGGGGAGGGGTTGTCCATTTCTGTGCTGAGTCTGAAAACTCTGGCACATCTGTTTTTTACAGTTGTCCCAGGTTGGTCGGGATGATTGACCTGATCACTAATTGGTTCTCAGCTCCTGGGAGAGGTTTTTCTTCCCAATGTATATATTTGGGCCAAAGAAAGTTTAGTCAGAAAGGTGTAGTTGTGTTGCGTAATTTTGTGTTGTTAGGGGGCAGCAAAATCTAGCACATATGGAAGACCTAAAGAACAGTAGTCGGGGACAGGGGTTGTGGATTATGTGGGTGGGGGGCTGGATGCTGGAGGGAATTTTGGCCAGCAAGACTAAGGGTGGCGTTTTGCCCTAGTATAAACTTGTCAACAATATTGATTCTGTTTTATGAGGATATGGGGGTATTAAGAGGATGTTTATTTGTGTTCAGTACTGTGTGAGGAGGAATCTGGAGTTGTGTTTTAATTGATGGTAAAATGACGGTTTCTGTATGAGGATTTGTGTGGTGGGTACCCAGGAACCAATAACGATTATTTCCCCAAAAGAAAAAGAGAGAGAGAGAGCGATAGAGCGAGAGAGAGAGGAGAGAGAGAGAGAGCGAGAGGAGAGACGAGAGGCTCGCTCTCGCTGTCTCTCTATATGTCTCGGTCTCTCTCTTCTATATCTCGCTCTCGCTCTTCTATCTCTGGACTATCTCTGTCTCTCGCTCTTCTCTCTATGTCTCGCTCTCTCTAGCGTCTATGTCTCTTAATCGTGTATCGGGCGAGGTTGTCGTTCCTATGTGATCAGCGCTCTATATAAGCGCGCGCTTACTGTCGTCAGAACGAGAGAGCGAGAAGCGAGAATAGAAGCGAGAGAAAGGAGAATCTCTCTCACTCTATCTCTCTCTCTCTCTCTCTGTTGTTCCTTCTCTCTCTGTATCTTCTCTGTCTCTTCTCTCTATGCTCTGTATCTGTCTCTCTCTCTCTGGCCTCTCTATCTATTTGTCTATCTCTGCGTCTCTTCTCCTCTTACTATCATCGCGGCATCGCTATCTTCGTATATCTCTCCCCTATAATGATCGCTCTCTCTCTCTAAATATTATTCTCTCTCTCGGTCTCTCTCTCTCTAATATCGCTCTCTGTCTCTCTCTCTCAATTCAAGTTTCAATTATCAATTGTTAAGGGCTTTAATTGGCATGGGACACGTGTGTTAACATTGCCAACGCAATGTCTTCTCGTCTCCTCTCTGTCTCTCTCTGTCTCTGTCTCTCTCCACTCTCTCTCTCTCTCTCTCTCTCTCTACTCGCATTTCTCTTCCTTCCTCTTATTCTCTCTCCCTCTCTAATCTCTATCTCTTTCTCTATATCTCTCTCTCTCTCTCTCTATCTACTTCTCTCTCTCTCTCTCTCTCTCTCTGTCTCTCTCTGTCTCCTCTCTCTGTTCTCTCTCTCTCTCTCTCTCTCTCTACTGTCTCTCTCACTCTCTACTGTCTCTCTCACTCTCGCTCTCTTTTTTTTAGTTTTTTTTTTACCTTTGTTTAACCAGGTAAGCCAGTTGAGAACAAGTTCTCATTTACAACTGCCAAGATAAAGCAAAGCAGTGCGATAAAAACCACAACACAGAGTTACAAATGGGGTAAAACAAAACATAAAGTCAAAAATACAACAGAAAATATATATACATTTATCATTACATTTATCATTTTTACATCCCTAAGACATGAGACATCTGGAAGGACTAAAATCAAAAAGGGTTGAGTACACAGTTAACCCCTAGCTCCCCTTTAGAGAGAGAGAGAGAGATTGAGAAAGAGAGCGAGAGAGAGAGAGAGAGAGAGAGAGAGAGAGAGAGAGAGAGAGAGAGAGAGAGAGACTCATTGATGCTCTATTGGTGGCCCATACTCAGCAAGGTTGCCCTGTCCCACAGCACTGCACCTGCCACTGAGAAGGGAGAGCAAGGGAGGGAGAGGGTGAGAGAGAGGGAGAGAGAGGGGGAGAGAGGGAGAGGGGGAGAGAGAGGGGAGGAGAGAGAGAGGGGGAGAGAGAGGGAGTGAGAGAGGGGGAGAGGGAGAGAGGGAAAGAGGGAGGGAGGGAGGGAGGGAGGGAGGGAGGGAGGGGAGGAGGGGAGGGAGGGAGGGAGGGAGGGAGGGAGGGAGAAATGACAGTGAGATGGGAAAGAAAGCAAGAGAGTGACAGAGAGAGAGAGAGAAAGAAGCGGGAAGAGGACAGAGGGACAATGGCCGTCTTGTTAGCGTTGTGCCAAGCTGTTATGTTTCTTCAGAGAAAGGTTTTTTTTCAGGGGTGTGCCACAGGGCTCCGTGTAAACACCCTTCTATTTCTTAATGGAGGGTCAGCTACCTCTTTTTATGCGGGGAGGCCTTCAGCCTCTGAAAGGACAAAGCCATTCCTCTTTGGATGTCTCTATCTTGCACCACACATGTATTTATCCTTCGAAGACAGAGAGAAAGAGAGGACATTTTTTTAAAATAAATGACCTGAGTAGGTTGTGCGTTTTCATGGCCTTGCCTTTGTAGTGTTCTGGAGATATCTTTGATTAACGGCCAAGAAATCACCGCTCGACAGCTGCTTTTGTTTTTGAAGGTACAGATCTTGGGAATGTTGCAACTGTATGAAATGACCATCTGTCAGTCCCCAGTGTAAACCTCAATTTATTTCATCTCACAAATATGAATGTACTATCTAGACAGAACATGGAGGACTGATGATAAACGGTAAGAATGCATGAACTGAAAGCAGAACAAGACAGCTTTATCACCCTGATTAGAATCAAACAATTGCAGACGCCTGGTGGTGGGGATGTCAGTATCAGTCATAGGGAAGATCTGGTTCAACAGTTGTGCCTGAACTCCGCTTTAGTGTAGAAATACTCTACTGCACTCTACTACAAATTATCCAGATATTACGCTATAACCTCAAGTTAAAGTGTACAATTTCTCACAAAGAATCCAACGGTGGTCCTATGAAGTAAAACAACAAAGGTATGAAAGAGACGGACCAAAAACAACATCAACTCCCAACTCCCATCATTTGTGTAGTCTTTTAGAAAGCTCTTGTTAAGTGGCTATAAATCTCCCAGAGCTAATTTCATGACCGTGCACTAAAGCCAGAGAGTGTTGGCCAGGCCTTGTGAGAGTCGACCAACAGCTCTTCGCGCTATGTTGATAACGCTGCAGTCGTCAGCTGTCATTGGCCCTGCACGGTTTGTTTTATGTAGTAGGGGTCACACGGCCTAGAGAGCCAAGTGTGAGGGGTGTTAAAGATGAACCCCTTCTGCCATTTGGGGAAGATGCTGAGTATTTCTCAGGCATACGTTGTTCTTATCAGCGGAGTGAAAAGCCAGTTTACCAAATGGCTGTTGTTACTATACTGTTGTAACGCGAACATAGACTAGACATAGACTAGAAATCACTGGTCACTTAAAAAAATGGAACACTAGTCACTTTAATAATGTTTACATATCTTGCATTACTCATCTCATATATATATACTGTATTCTATACTATTCTACTGTATCTTAGTCCATGCCGCTCTGTCATTGCTCGTCCATATATGTATATATTCTTAATTCCATTCCTTACTTAGATTTGTGTGTATTGGGTGTATGTTGTGAAATTGTTAGATATTACTTGTTAGATATTACTGCACTGTCGGAGCTAGAAGCACAAGCATTTCGCTACACCCGCAATAACATATGCTAAAGACGTGTATGTGACCAATAAAATGTGATTTGATTTGAAATGTTTGGAGCTTGTTCTTTGTGAAAACATGTTTTGAATAAAATATAACACACTGCTTTCTGTTTCCAGCTTGCCACCATAAAAAGTGAATCCCGTTTGAAGCACCTACTACAGCGATTACCAAGCTACTGCCCTGAGTCTATGGTAAGTGGTCTACAAATAATGTTCAGTTAAATATGGCTGTAATAAAGTCGGCTATGAAATCTTTCATTATGACACAGGAAATGTATCTGTGGCTATGGCAAAGCTTATAAGCATTACTCACAAGTCTATTGTACCTGGTCTTACTAAAGGTACAAAGAAGTATCAAAAAAGTATTAAAGAAGTATCAAATAAATATTAAAGAAGTATTAAAGTATCAAATAAGTAATAAATAGTATCAAAGGAGTATTAAAGAAATATCAAATAAGTATTAAAGTATCGAATAAGTATTAAAGTATCAAATAAGTATCAAAGTATTAAAGAAGTATCAAAGAAGTATCAAAGAAGTAGTAAAGAGGTATTAAAAAAGTATTAAAGAAGTATCAAAGTATCAAAGAAGTATCAAATAAGTATTAAAGTGTTAAAGAAGTATCAAAGTGTTAAATAAGTATCAAATAAGTATTAAAGAAGTATCAAAGTATTAAAGAAGTATCAAAGTGTTAAAGAAGTATCAAAGAAGTATTAAAGAAGTATCAATGTGTTAAAGAAGTATCAAATAAGTATTAAAGAAGTATCAAAGTATTAAAGAAGTATCAAAGTGTTAAAGAAGTATCAAAGAAGTATCAAAGAAGTATCAAAGTGTTAAAGAAGTATCAAATAAGTATTAAAGACGTATCAAAGTATTAAAGAAGTATCAAAGTGTTAAAGAAGTATCAAAGAAGTATTAAAGAAGTATCAATGTGTTAAAGAAGTATCAAATAAGTATTAAAGAAGTATCAAAGTATTAAAGAAGTATCAAAGTGTTAAAGAAGTATCAAAGAAGTATTAAAGAAGTATCAAAGTGTTAAAGAAGTATCAAAGTGTTAAAGAAGTATCAAATAAGTATTAAAGAAGTATCAAAGTGTTAAAGAAGTATCAAAGTGTTAAAGAAGTATCAAAGTATTAAAGAAGTATCAAAGTGTTAAAGAAGTATCAAAGTGTTAAAGAAGTATCAAAGTATTAAAGAAGTATCAAAGTGTTAAAGAAGTATCAAAGTATTAAAGAAGTATCAAAGTATTAAAGAAGTATCAAATTGTTGAAGAAGTATCAAAGTGTTGAAGAAGTATCAAAGTATTAAAGAAGTATCAAAGTATTAAAGAAGTATCCAATTATTAAAGAAGTATCAAAGTGTTAAATAAGTATCAAAGTATTAAAGAAGTATCAAAGTATTAAAGAAGTATCAAAGAGTGGGGCTTGAAACAAGGCTAAACGCTCCCCACCAACATAACATAACATAACTACAAACCTGGAATACCGAAATGTAACTGTTTTTCATTTGCACTGCCCCAAACTGCCAATTAGAAACCAGTCTGTCATTACCTAGAGTTAAATACTTTATTTTATTTGGACATGTTTCCTGTTATTAATGAACTAATTTGCCAAAATGGATCTGATTTGGGGATTTTGGAAACGATTTCAGCCAGCATATTAGTACTGACACTCCAAGGTCCTTCTTAGTCTCAGACACCACAAAACATCTCACAGCCGTTCCAAGGTATTGTTTCTAAGGTATTGTTTCTAAGGTATTGTTTCTAAGGGATTGTTTCTAAGGGATTGTTTCCAAGGGATTATTTCTAAGGGATTGTTTCTAAGGGATTGTTTCTAAGGGATTTTTTCTAAGAGATTGTTTCTAAGAGATTGTTTCTAAGGGATTGTTTCTTGGCATGTTGAGGTCTAACAGTAGTTGTACTTGGAGGGCTGCTAAAATCCACCCTCCACCGCTAGTCGTCCTTCATGTTCCCAAACCTTATTGGGTTCCCCTTCATCACAAATCCTGTTTCTAGCTCATGTAGAGATACCATTTCTCTCCGTCGGCATCGTAAAGGATGGTGAAGTCTCCTGACAAGTGGCTCCTCTGTTCGAGAGCCAACAGACATGAGGGACTGAGCTGAACCTCAGACAATATACAGTTTATATAGTTCATTATCTTGTTAAGGGCTAGAGACAGAGAGTGCTCTCTGGGCCACTCACTGCTCCTTCTCCATGCGTCATGTTCTCTATCCAGATGAGCCTGGGATATTTGTGTTTATTGCTGTGTATATTACCACAAAGCTCTTATGAGTGTGTGGTTTATATGTCTCTGTTTCCACTGCATGAATATAGTTTTTAATTAGATGGCAGTCATATAAAAAATGCAATGTTCTCTATGAAATTCAATAGCCCCTGCAAACGCAGTAAATTACCATTTCAGTCTGTTGTTTTACCCAAGGAACCAATAGTTGTCTGATATCATTTCCCGTTGAGCGATGAAACACAAATACGTAGACAGGATTACTTTCACAAAGGCCCCCAACAGAGGTCTTCCGTGTGGTTCATTCATGCTCACCTCTGCCCAACACAAGGCTCCTTCCTTTGACATTTGTCCAACTCCAGAATAACCTCTGTAAATCAAAACAACCTGTCCTTCTGTTTCTGGAATTCTTTTCCCTTGTTCTCTTGCTTGTTTTGGCATTGGTCCTCTGTTTATAATGAAATGACCTTTCTCTCTGTTTCACAGAATGAGCTTTGGATCTGCATCAACTCCACACTACCTGGTAAGATCTGCGTGCAGCGTTTCAAAGGGATACGTGCCGTTACAGACAAATCTACCTGTCAGAACATAATGCCTCCCAGATGCAAAAACATTGTCGCTTATCTCAACACTGTGTACCCACTGAGCCCACACTAAAAGTCCATATATGTCCACAGTTTAATATGCTGCCCTTAAAATGTCTAAATGTTTTTGCAAACCCCCCACAAGAGGATAAAGTTAATCCATACTTTAATTCTGATAATGCTACAGTGCCTTGCAAAAGTATTCATCCCCCTTGGCGTTTTTCCTATTTTGTTGCATTACAACCTGTAATTTAAATTGATTTTTATTTGGATTTCATGTAATGGACATACACAAAATAGTCCAAATTGGTGAAGTGAAATGAAAAAAATTACTTGTTTTAAATAATTCTAAAAAATAATTAACGGAAAAGTGGTGCTTGCATATGTATTCACCCCCTTTGCTATGAAGTCCCTAAATAAGATCTGGTGCAACCAATTACCTTCAGAAGTCACATAATTAGTTCAATAAAGTCCACCTGTGTGCAATCTAATTGTCACATGATCTCAGTATATATACACCTGTTCTGAAAGGCCCCAGAGTCTGCAACACCACTAAGCAAGTGGCACCACCAAGCAAGCGGCACCATGAAGACCAAGGAGCTCTCCAAACAGGTCAGGGACAAAGTTGTGGAGAAGTACAGATCAGGGTTGGGTTATAAAAAAATATCCGAAACTTTGAACATCCCACGGAGCACCATTAAATCCATTATAAAAAAATTGAAAGAATATGGCACCACAGCAAACCTGCCAAGACAGGGCCGCCCACCAAAACATCAAGGAAAATGCTATGTCTGGGGCAAACTCAACACCTCTCATCACCCCGAGAACACCATCCCCACAGTGAAGCATGGTGGGGGCAGCATCATGCTGTAGGGATGTCAGAATTGGTCAGAATTGAAGGAATGATGGATGGTGCTGAATACAGGGAAATTCTTGAGGGAAACCTGTTTCAGTCTTCCAGAGATTTGAGACTGGGACAGAGGTTCACCTTCCAGCAGGACAATGACCCTAAGCATACTGCTAAAGCAACACTCAAGTGGTTTAGATTTGACTTGATTTGATTTGATTTAAGGGGAAACATTTAAATGTCTTGGAATGGCCAAGTCAAAGCCCAGACCTCAATCCAATTGAGAATCTGTGGAATGACTTAAAGATTGCTGTACACCAGCGGAACCCATCCAACTTGAAGGAGCTGGAGCAGTTTTGCCTTGAAGAATGTGCAAAGATCCCAGTGGCTAGATGTGCCAAGCTTATAGAGACATACCCCAAGAGACTTGCAGCTGTAATTGCTGTAAAAGTTGGCTCTACAAAGTATTGACTTTGGGGGGGTGAATAGTTATGCACGCTTAAGTTTATTTTATTTTGCATCAAAGTGGTAGGCATGTTGTGTAAATCAAATGATACAAACTCCAAAAAAAATCAATTTTAATTCCAGGTTGAAAGGCAACAAAATAGGAAAAATGCCAAGGGGGATGAATACTTTCGCAAGGCACTGCACACCCATCAAGGGTTTGTGGGTAATGGCGACCATTTTTGGTTTGTCTACAGGGTCGTCCAGGAAGTCCGATGGTTGGGTTGGACTGGGCTGCTGTGAGCTGGCCATCTCGGCCGAGTGCCGCAGGGAGTGCAAGCAGGTGAGAGGAAGTTTGTTTGGCCCGTTATAGCCTGATCCATTTGCACCTCACCTAATTTCTCATTCTCTGACCCTATAGGCATCATCCAGGACCGACATCACAAGAGTATGCAAAAAAGAAACAGAGGTAAGTAAACCAAAGGTAATATTTTGTGTAATATGTGCTTTAAATTGAGTATCACACACGCTGTCGACTTTGAGTCGGCTCGGGGATTAGAACCAGCGACCTTTCGGTTACTGGCACAACGCTCTTACCCACTAAGCTACATGCCGCCCCTGGGCTGGAAAACTTCAGTGCTGTTTTACGAGGTAAAGGTAGCGGTACTTCTTTGCAGTCCGTCTCAGCACCTCAGCATCGTCCTCCTCCCCACCCCTCTTTATGAGGTAATTTCATGTCCGTGTAGCACTCTAAGGCAGTGGTATTCAAATTCGGGGTCGCGACCACCAGTGGGGTAATTGCAGTGCAGTCGCCAACATTTTTATAAAATATATATATATATATACATTTTTTTTTTTACAAACAATTAAGAGTATAGATTATTGTATGGGACAATATACAAACGTTTTGGAGATAGTTTGAAAAATATAAATGTATTGAGTAAATGTATTCATTTTGAGAAGAGAGATGAAATTGTAATGTATTGAAGGCTATTTAATGTTGTTGTTTTTTTAAAAAAATCCTACCGATTTTAAGGCTGTGTCATTAGATTTGGGGTGTAGTGGGGTCGCCAGAAATTCAGGTGAAAAAATGGGGTCCCCAGAAATGTTAGTGCCCATATATAACTTTGTTCTCTACATGTTGGTGATGTAACCATACGAGAGCGCCTCCACCGGTTCCCTATGAAATGACCCGCTGTAAACAAGCAAAACGGAGCAGTGAATTTAACCTACGTTTTTTTAGTGATTCGCTTTCGGGATAATGTGTATCCAAGTCTTTACTATGGTGTATGTTAGGCTATGGTTCAACCCAGCACTCAGAGAAACAAACACGACAAAGGGAGTGGAAGAAACAAAATATTTAATAAAAGTAAAAATTGTCTTAGTCCAAAAACCACTGAAGTAAAGGAACAGAGTGGGCTAGTCGGCTCCGGAGGAAGGAGAGGCTGAGGCAGGCAGGCAGGCAGGCAGGCAGGCAGGAAGGCAGGCAGGTTGGGAGGTATGTCCGAAACTAAAGACAAAACAAACGACAGGTTAAGGAGAGTGGAGAGCCAGGCTGAAGACAAAGACAAAATAACTTTACTGGTGAGCCAAGTTACCGCTCTGGTAAGAACAACGATCTGGCGCCGGTGGAGAGCCATGCCCCGGAATTAGTAGTGCAGGATGATTAGAGAATAGGATGCAGCTGCGTAGGCAGGAATCACTGGAAACAACCCGCAGCTGCACAGGAGAGGCAGATCCTGAGCCCGCCCCCTGATCCACTCCAGACACACCCACATAAAGGGGACAAACACACATACAGATACAACAGACACAGAGGGGACAAAACAAGGAGGAAGGGAAACAGAAAAGGGAGAGACAAGCTGCCCACATAACAGTACCCCCCCCCTCAATGGTCGCCACCTGGCGACCCACCAGGTCTGTCAGGGTTGTCGTGATGGAAGTCCGTGATCAACTGAGGATCCAACACAAAACGCTTAGGGACCCAAGACCTCTCCTCTGGTCCATAACCTTCCCAATCGACTAGGTATTGGAGACCCCTACCCCGCCTCCGAGAGTCCAGTAGCCTACTGACGGTGTAGGCCGGATGGTCGTCAATGAGACGAACAGGTGGAGGTGGAACAGCCGGCGGACACAAAAGGCTGGAGGACACTGGTTTCAGTTGGGAGACGTGGAAAGTAGGGTGTATCTTCATGGCTGAAGGCAACTTCAAACGAACCGCAGCGGGGTTAATGATGGACTCCACCACAAACGGACCCAGGTACCGAGGAGACAGCTTGCGTGATTTGGTACGAAGAGGTACGTTCTTAGACGACAGCCAAACCTCTTGACCAGGATGAAACACAGGTGCGGGAGTCCTGCTCCTATCCGCTGTCCTCTTGTTCCTGTCGGTGGTCCGAAGCAACGCTTCCCGAGCATCGCGCCACACTCTCTGGCAGCGGCGGAGGTTCTCCTGAACCGAAGGAACAGCCAATTCCTTCTCCTGAGCAGGAAACAGAGGGGGTTGATAACCCATGGTAACTTCGAAGGGTGAAAGACCAGTGGCAGAGGTGGTGAGGGAGTTGTGGGCGTACTCTATCCAAGGCAGATGTTTGGCCCAGGATGATGGATGTTGAGCAGCCACACAACGAAGGGTTGCTTCGAGGTCTTGATTGGCTCTTTCTGTTTGACCGTTGGTCTGGGGATGAAACCCTGAGGACAGACTAACGGAAGCACCCAAAGCAGAACAGAAAACCTTCCAAACACGGGAAGTAAACTGTGGGCCTCTATCAGATACGATGTCCACAGGTATTCCATGGGGACGGAATACATGTTGGACTAGGAGGTCCGCTGTCTCACTGGCAGACGGTAATTTTGGTAATGCTATATAGTGAACAGATTTAGAGAATCTGTCCACAATGGTAAGTATAGTATCATTACCTTCAGACTTGGGTAGGCCGGTGACAAAATCCATGGCTATGTGGGACCAGGGACGGCTGGGAACTGGGAGGGGTAGCAGCAGCCCCGAAGGGGACTGATGGGAGGCTTTGCCCCGAGCACAGGTTGAACAGGCTGCCACAAAAGCCCGAACGTCAGTTTCCATTGAAGGCCACCAAAAATGTCTCCTAAGCAGCGTCAACGTGCGTCTCATCCCAGGGTGACCAGCAAAACGGGAGGTGTGAATCCACTGCAACACCTGAGACCGGACCGTCTCGGGAACAAAGAGTAGGTTGGGAGGTCCATCACCCGGTCCCGGGTCCGTGGCAAGTGCAGTCTTCACAAGAGACTCGATCTCCCACTGAACAGCCGCCACGACGCATGAGGAAGGCAGGACTGCCTCAGGCTCGCTGGTCTCCGAAGGGTCAGCAAACTGGCGGGACAAAGCATCTGGTTTAACATTTCTTGACCCCGGTCTGTATGTAAGAATAAAGTTAAACCTACTAAAAAACAGGGCCCATCTGGCTTGGCGTGAGTTGAGTCTCTTAGTGGCTTGGATGTAAGCCAAGTTCTTGTGGTCTGTCCAGACCACAAACGGCAGTTCAGCTCCATCCAGCCAGTGCCGCCATTCTTCCAGTGCTAGCTTGACCGCCAGCAGTTCTCGGTTTCCAACGTCGTAATTCCGTTCTGTGGGTGACAATTTTTTGGAGAAAAAAGCACAGGGGTGAAGCCTTTGGTCAGTGGGGGAGCGCTGGGAGAGGACGGCTCCCACACCTGAGCCCGACGCGTCCACCTCCACAACAAACTGCAGAGAGGTATTGGGGTGTATCAACACAGGGGAGGTGGAAAACAGTTCCTTCAAAATCCCTACCGCCTGCTCCGCCTCAGGGGACCACAGAAAAGGGACCTTTGGGGATGTGAGTCTAGTAAGGGGTGCCACCACTTTACTAAAACCCTTAATGAACCTACGGTAGAAGTTAGCAAAGCCCAAAAATCGTTGAAGTTGCTTACGGGTGGTGGGTATGGGCCATTCCGTCACTGCCCGGATCTTCTCGGGGTCCGCCTTCACCTGCCCGCTCTCAATGATGAAACCAAGGAACGATGTAGACTGTTTGTGGAACTCACACTTCTCTGCTTTGACGTAGAGCTTGTTTTCCAAGAGCCGTTGAAGGACTTGACGGACGTGTGACTCATGCTCCTCGGGTGACTTGGAAAAAACAAGAATATCATCCAGGTATACAAAGACAAAACGGTTCAAAAAATCCCTAAGAACATCGTTCACCATAGCTTGGAAAACAGCAGGGGCGTTTGAGAGCCCAAAGGGCATGACCAAATACTCAAAATGTCCCAGTGGAGTGTTGAAAGCGGTCTTCCACTCGTCCCCGGGTTTGATCCGCACAAGATGGTATGCGTTCCGCAGGTCAAGCTTGGAGAAAACTGTGGCGCCATGCAGAGGTTCAAAAGCAGAGTTGATGAGTGGAAGGGGATACTTGTTTTTAACAGTTATGTTGTTTAAACCCCTGAAATCGATACAGGGGCGTAACGACTTGTCCTTCTTTTCCACGAAAAAGAAACCTGCACCCAAAGGAGACGACGAGGGACGGATTATGCCCGAGACCAGAGAATCACCAATGTACTGCTCCATTGCCTCTCTTTCCGGTCGGGACAGATTGTATAAGCGACTAGAGGGCAAGGGAGCACCAGGAAGCAGTTCAATAGGGCAATCATAAGGCCTATGTGGTGGTAGAGACAGAGCCTTGTCCTTACTGAAAACCTCCGCTAAGTCATGGTATTCTTTGGGGACAGATGACAGATCAAGAGGAGCTGAGGGATGAGTTGGGTTACACTTAGTGGGGGGAACCGCTGACCTAAGGCACTCAGAATGGCAGTTAGTGCTCCAACTGAGAATGGTGTGACGTGTCCAATCAATTTGTGGGTTGTGAAGAGCCAACCAGGGGAAGCCAAGGATTAGGGAGGTAGCTGAGCCAGACATAACTCTTAGCTGAATGCTTTCACAATGATTGCCAGAAATCACTAGGGAAACGGGGGTGGTTTGATGAGTTATCTCCGCGAGGAGGCGCCCATCAAGGGCTGTGACCCGAATGGGGGTAGGTAGTGGCTCCAAGGGGATACGAGCTTGTGTAACGAACTGGTGGCTAATAAAGTTGTCTTCTGCACCTGAGTCTATGAGAGCTGAGAGTGGCAGGGAATGACTCTGGAAACGTAAGGTTACAGGTACTTGTAATCGGGGAATGATGGGTTCAGGATCTAACTCTGGGCTCGCAAGTAGACCCACCGTTACGAGCGAGCCTTGTCTTTTGGCCGCTTAGGGCATGTAGCCAGAATGTGTGTGGCGTCTCCACAGTACAGGCACTCACCCGCCTGGAGGCGCCGTTGCCGCTCTGCTGGAGGTAGTCGAGCTCGACCCACTTGCATAGGTTCCTCCTCTGTGCTCGGGATGGAATCAGGAACAAGAAGCTGCCGGCTCCGGGGAGGCGAGACTCGAGTGGTTGAAGGCTGGGGAACTCGTCCTCCTAGATGCGGCCGACCGCCTCTCTCCCGACGCCTTTCCCGCAACCGGTTGTCTAGCTTAATGGACAGGGAAACGAGAGAATGTAAATCATGTGGCTCGTCACGAGCAGCCAGTTCATCCTTAATGGCTTCATTCAAACCGTTTAGAAATGCTCCTTGAAGTGCCACATTGTTCCACTTGGAGTCCGCTGCCAAAGTCCAGAACTCAATAGAGTACTCAGCCACACTGTTAGAACCCTGCCTCAAATTAAAAAGTATCTTGGAGGAATTACCCACATGGTCAGGATGGTCAAAAACAGTCTTCAATTTAGCAGAAAAATCAGCGAAAGTCAATCCAGTCAAAGTTTGATTTGAGCACACAGCCTCAGCCCAAACCAGAGCTCTCCCTCTTAACAACCCCAGAACATAATGTACCTTAGAGGAATCAGTAGAAAATGACAGTGGTCTCTGCCGAAAAATCAAGTCACACTGAAGCAAAAATCCCCGGCACTTGTCCAATTCTCCATGGAACGGTTCAGGCGACGTGACAGGGGGTTCCCGATGGAACGAAGCCTGCATCATGTCCGAGGAACCAACTTGGGGTGCATCAAACTGGGGGTCAGAGAGAGATGGAGAACTGATAACAGACAAATTAGAGACTTGTGTAGTTAACTGAGTCACCTGGTTCAGCAGTTGATGATTATTTTCCAAAAGAGTCCGAATCAGTTGGTCATGCTGTCCTAGCAACGTTCCTTGAGCCTGGATAGCTTGTTGGAAGCTGTCTTCGTTTGCCCCGTGCTGTCTCTCTGTTGGGTCCATGGCCAGATCGTTCTGTTAGGCTATGGTTCAACCCAGCACTCAGAGAAACAAACACGACAAAGGGAGTGGAAGAAACAAAATATTTAATAAAAGTAAAAATTGTCTTAGTCCAAAAACCACTGAAGTAAAGGAACAGAGTGGGCTAGTCGGCTCCGGAGGAAGGAGAGGCTGAGGCAGGCAGGCAGGCAGGCAGGCAGGCAGGCAGGCAGACCGACAGGCAGGAAGGCAGGCAGGTTGGGAGGTATGTCCGAAACTAAAGACAAAACAAACGACAGGTTAAGGAGAGTGGAGAGCCAGGCTGAAGACAAAGACAAAATAACTTTACTGGTGAGCCAAGTTACCGCTCTGGTAAGAACAACGATCTGGCGCCGGTGGAGAGCCATGCCCCGGAATTAGTAGTGCAGGATGATTAGAGAATAGGATGCAGCTGCGTAGGCAGGAATCACTGGAAACAACCCGCAGCTGCACAGGAGAGGCAGATCCTGAGCCCGCCCCCTGATCCACTCCAGACACACCCACATAAAGGGGACAAACACACATACAGATACAACAGACACAGAGGGGACAAAACAAGGAGGAAGGGAAACAGAAAAGGGAGAGACAAGCTGCCCACATAACAGTGTAGTGTCAACAAGTTGCATATCTGCTTTAACTGGACATCTTCATGAGTTTTGAAAACTATCAGAAATAAACAGCACAATGCAGAAGCGTTAATTATCACTTAACGATGGCTACGGAGGAGAAGGTGGCGCTCTCGGAATGTTCAACCGCATTGGCCTAACTCTATATACACTGAGTGTACAAAACATTAGGAACACCTTCTCTTTCCATGGCATCGACTGACCAGGTGAATCCAGGTGAAAGCTATGATCCCTTATTGATGTCACCTGTTAAATCCACTTCAATCCGTGTAGGTGAAGGGGAGGAGACAGGTTAAAGAAGGATTTTTAAGCCTTGAGACAATTGAGACATGGATTGTGTATATGTGCCATTCAGAGGGTGAATGGGCAACACAAAATATTTAAGTGGCTTTGAACTGGGTATAGTAGTAGGTGCCAGGTGCACTGGTTTGAGTATGTCAAGAACTAAAATGTTGCTGGGTTTTTCACGTTCAACAGTTTCCTGTGTGTATCAAGAATGGTCCACCACCCAAAGGACATCCAGCCAACTTGACACTGTGGGAAGCATTGGAGTCAACATGGGCCATCATCCATGTGGAACGCTTTCGACACCTTGTAGAGTCTATGCCCCAACGAATTGAGGCTGTTCTGAGGGCAAAAAGGTGTTCCTAATGTTTTGTACACTCAGTGTACATGTATATGGCTCTGGCTTAGTTTAGCTATTAGCGTAGCATAGCTTAGCTATTAGCATAGCATAGCTATTAGCTTAGCCTAGCGTAGCCTAGTGACGGGCTAGCAGAGGTCTCCTTTCATCTGGCTCACCTCCTCATTCCAAACAAACATACAAACAAAGCGGCAGGCTTAATGTTTGGTTTGGACCACGACTAAACTCCCCTCACCAGCTTTAATAAGGCACTGGCCCCTTTCATCTTGCCCTTTCATGAATCCTTGCTGGGGGAGCCAAAGCACGCAGCAGCACTGGCCTTAATGGTCCTCTATGGTTTTGATGGAAAGAAGCCAATGTGTTTTCTGATGGAGAATTGAACTGTACTGAGGACAGGAGAGTGAGTTTTCTGATGGAGGTTTAACTGTCCTGAGGACAGTGGATGAGAGAAGAGGAACGGGGTGTGTATTCATCGAGGGGAAAGGTTCAGAATATTGCAGACAGAAATTTAATGAATAGAGCTGACGCAATAATGGTTGTTCAATAGTGTGTTTGATCACAAAAGTGTTTTTTCTTGTCTTTTACAGAAACCACTGTACAGCTGTATCACCAGAAATGAAAGTAAGTTTCCAACGTTCTCCACGACAAGCCGCTAACCCAAGTGCACCAATCAGAGCGTGACCTGCACGTGTGGCTCAGTTGGTAGAGCATGGCGCTTGCCATGCCAGTTTTGTGGGTTTGATTCCCCACGGGGGGGACCAGTATGAAAAAGTACGGAAATGTATGCACTTACTGCTGTAAGTTGCTCTGGATAAGTGTTTCTGCTAAATGACTAAAATGTAAAATGAATAAACATGAAGTCAGAACTCTGCTTTTGGTCCGCAGAAATGATTTCATCTGTCACTGAGTCAGTCAGCCGATGAATCCCTTATTTGTATTCGGAGCTGCAATGCAGTGGTGTGACATGCCCACAAGATGCATTTGGGCGAATTTGAGGATGTGAGGTCACTTCCTGAAGTCTTGCAACTGCAGATCACCCCCCAACGTTCACCATCAGACTATTCTCTAGGGCAGGGTTCTTCAATTCCGGTCCTGGAGGGCCGAAACACTTCTGTTTTTCATTTCTACCTGGTAGTTAATTGCACTCACCTGGTGTCCCAGGTCTGAATTAGCCCCTGATTAGAAGGAGAGGATGAAAAACAGAGGTGTTTCGGCCCTCCAGGACCGGAATTGAAGAACCCTGCTCTAGGAAATCCTGAAAGTCTACTGTATTATATTCTAATTCAGCACAGAACTACTCCTGATGTTTGAATGTTGATCATGTTTGCAATGTCTGTCATATATTTTACGAGCTAAAGACTACTTCAAGACAAAAATATTTATAAATATACAATTTACAATTCCATTGAAGTGAATGGAAAGCATGTTGCAACTGTGTTGTCTGTGTGTGTTTGTGTGTGTGTGTGTGCTGCGTTGTCTCTGTGTGTGTGTGTTTGTGTGTGTGTGTGTGCTGTGTTGTCTCTGTGTGTGCTGTGTCAGTGGGTTCGGTGTGCTGCAGCTATGCAGGGAGACACACCAACTGCAGAGAGTACTGCCAGGCCATCTTCCGGACAGACTCCTCCCCCACCGTCTCGCAAATCAAGGCCGTCAAGGAATACTGCCAGAGCATCAGCCCCGAGCTCATTGGCTGTGTGGGCAACTACACCATGTCCTACCCAATCAGGAGCCCCATAGACAGTGAGTATAGCTCATACTGACCTATCGGCTGCCCCATAGACATTGTGTATATCAAATACTGACCTAGCAGCATCCCATTAGACAGTGAGTATATCAAATACTGACCTATCAGCAGCCCCATAGACATTGAGTATATCAAATACTGACCTATCAGCAGCCCCATAGACATTGAGTAGGCCTATGGCCAAATACTAATCTATCAGTACCCAACTTGACATATCCAGTGTGTATCTTCTTTCTGTGTTGCATTCCTCCAATCACTGGCTATCACTTGGTACAGTCCATTCGGAAAGTATTCAGACCCCTTGACTTTTTCCACATTTTGTTACGTTACAGCCGTATTCTAAAATTGATTCAATTGTATTTTTTCCCCCATCATCAACCTACACACAATTCCCCATAATGACAAAGCAAAAAATGTTTTTTAGACATTTTTGCAAATGTATTAAAAATACAAAACTGAAATATCACATTTACATAAGTATTCAGACCCTTTACTCAGTACTTTGTTGAAGCACCTTTGGCAGTGAGTCTTCTTGGGTACGACGCTACAAGCTTGGCATACCTGAATTTGGGGAGTTTCTCCTATTCTTTTCTGCAGATCCTCTCAAGCTCTGTCAGGTTGGATGGGGAGCGTCGCTGCACAGCTATTTTCAGGTCTCTCCAGAGATGTTTGATCGTTTTCAAGTCCGTACTCTGGCTGGGCCCCTCAAGGATATTCAGAAACGTGTCCTGAAGCCACTCCTGCATTGTCTTGGCTGTGTGCTTAGGGTCGTTGTCCTGTTGGAAGGTGAACCTTCGCCCCAGTCTGAGGTCCTGAGCGCTCTGGAGCAGGTTTTTGTCAAGGATCTCTCTGCACTTTTGCTCTGTTCATCTTTCCCTCGATCCTGACTAGTCTCCCAGTCCCTGCCGCTGAAAAATATCCCCACAGCATGATGCTGCCATCAGCGTGCTTCACCGTAGGGATGGTGCCAGGTTTCCACCAGACGTGACACTTGGCATTCAGGCCAAAGAGTTCAATCTTGGTTTCATCAGACCAGAGAATCTTGTTTCTCATGGTCTGAGTATTTTAGGTGCCTTTTGGCAAACTCCAAGCGGGCTGTCATGTGCCTTTTACTGAAGAGTGGCTTCCGTCTGGCCACTCTACCATAAAGGCCTGATTGGTGGAGTGATGCAGAGATGGTTGTCCTTCTGGAAGGTTCTCCCATCTCCACAGAGGAACTCTGGAGCTCTGTCAGGATGACCATCGGGTTCTTGGTCAACTCCCTGACCAAGGCCCTTCTCCCCCGATTGCTCAGTTTGGCTGGGCGGCCAGTTCTAGGAAGAGTCTTGGTGGTTCCAAATTTCTTCCATTTAAGAATGATGGAGACCACTGTGTTCTTGGGGACCTTCAGTGCTGCAGAAATGTTTTGCTACCCTTCCCCAGATCTGTCCCTCGACACAATCCTGTCTCAGAGCTCTACGGACAATTCCTTCGACCTCATGACTTGGTTTTTGAAACAGGATGCACCTAAGCTCAATTTCAAGTCTCATAGCAAAGGGTCTGAATACTTATGTAAATAAGGTATTTCTGTTTTTGCAAAACATTCTGAAAACCTGTTTTTGCTTTGTCATTATGGGGCATTGCGTGTAGATTGATGAGGAACAATTACATTTAATCCATTTTAGAATATGCTGTAACGTAACAAAATGTGGAAAAAGTCAAGGGGTCTGAACACTTTCCGAATGCATTGTATATCCATCCATCCATCTGTCCGTCCAGGCCTGTACTGCTGCGACCGGGCCGATGAGCCCCACTGCCAGGTGGCATGCCGGCGCATCCTGCGCACCATGACCACAGAGCACGAGATTATGGAGGGCCTGATCGATGAGTGTGGCAGCCAGCCACTGCCCCAGGACCCGCTGTGGCAGTGCTTCCTGGGCAGCGCTCACCCCCCCACCAAAAGGGAGACGGAGACCTCACCTACCGCCAAGATGGACGGCGCCAAGCTGCACTGCTGCTCCAAAGCCAATACCTCACTGTGCCGGTTAGTTGGTCATTGTACTCTGATGAGATGCTTGTAGTGATTACAATGGCTTACAGCTACAGAGCGGTAACGCTCCCAGCCAGTCACAAACTGCTCCCCACCGGAGACCAGGGTTCAATCTCTGCGTCCACCCTTCCTAAGTTGTCCCACTTGCCTGTCTCCCCCTCTGTTTCCAACTTTCTGAATAAAGTGTAAAAGGTAACTCCCGAGTGGCACAGCGGTCCTAGGCACTGCATCGCAGGCGTCAGTACAGACCATGGTTCAATCCCAGGCTGTGTCGTGACCGGGAGACCCATGAGGCGGCGCACAGTGTTTCCTCTAACACATTGGTGCTTCTGGGTTAAGCGAGCAGTGTGTAAAGAAGCAGTGCGGCTTGGCAGGGGTCGTGTTTCAGAGGACAACCTTCACCTCTCCCAAGTCAGTACGGGAGTTTCAGCAATGGGACAAGACTGTAACTATCAATTGGGGAGAAAAAGGGGGTTGTTAAAA